ATTGTGGACAAACAATGGAGAGGCTGCAAGTACCTACCCGCGAGTTTCCATGGCAGTCTTCACCTCCAGTCCTCACAGCAGCCCTTTCAGGAAGTGCACAGGGTCATCTTTCTGGTTTTATTTTTTCACAGATGAGGAAACTGAAAGACCAGTGGTACTTTTTCCATCAAGCCACATCTAAAGTGGACTGGTCTCACTGGATGTGAGGTGTTTGAGTCAGTACTGAAAGTAGCTGTTTTGGAAGAATTGTGGTTAATAATTAACATAGCAGCTTGGAAGCATCCCTTTTTCCTTTCACCTGTACCTGATTTGTGTGTGTTTTTTCCTGGTGTTTTTACTTCTGAAGAACTTAACCTGGAACACCTCAGTAATCTTCAGCCCCTTTTGTCTTGGGAGTCTGTTGTCCCATCTCAAGAGGCTCCAAAAAAGTCACCTGGTTGGTCCTATATTGGGAACTTGTGTGGTCCTCAGCTTCTGACCAGAAGCTCCTAGGATTTTTTTTAAAAAATCATGCATAGAAATTGTTTACTAAGTATTCACCAAATGCAAATGAAGAACCCATACCTTCTGGTCCCATCTTTTTTGTCACTTGTATTTTTATTCTTATTTTTATTTTTTTGAGACAGGGTCTCGCTCTGTCGCCAGGCTGGAATGCAGTGGCGCGATCTCTGCTCACTGCAACTTCCGCCTCCTGGGTTCAAGCGATTCTTCTGCCTCAGCATCCCGAGTAGCTGGGATTACAGGCGCACGCCACCACACCTAGTTAATTTTTGTATTTTTAGTAGAGACAGGGTTTCACCGTGTTGGCCAGGATGGTCTTGATCTCTTGACCTCGGCCTCCCAAAGTGCTGGAATTACAGGTGTGAGCTACCATGCCCGGCTTGTTCTCACCTTTAGACTCTATGCTTGTGTGTGTGTGTGTGTGTGTGTGTGTGCTCTTTCTCTGTCTGTCTCCCTCTGTCCCCCATCTTCTCCCTGCCCTTTCTCCTTTTCTCTTTCTTTTAGCTTCAAGGCTTCAGCCCATGTCACCTGTCTATGCAAAGGGTGAAACAAATGTAAGGGGGTTCAAGATTAGTCATAAGCTGACATCGTTAATATACGGTATCTACATGTATGGTTTTCTTTTTTTTTTTATTTAAATCAAGTATTGCCTTGTCACCCATGCTGGAGTGCAGTGGCAAGATCTCCACTCGCTACAACCTACAGCTCCTGGGTTCAAGCAATTCCTGCTTCAGCCTCCTGAGTAGCTGGGATTACAGACGTCCTACCACACCTAGCTAACTTTTGTGTTTTCTGGTAGAGATGGGATTTCGCCACGTTGGCTAGGCTGGTCTTGAACTCCTGGCCTCAAGTGATCCACCTGCCTTGGTCTCCCAAAGTGTTGGGATTACAGGTGTGGGCCGCCGCACCTGGCCCTACATGTATGATTTTCATTTAAGGGGAAAGCAAATCGGAAATGTGGAAGTTTTTGAAAATACCAGATTTTAATTCATTTTGATTGGAATAATCTGAGAGTGGCTTAGTGGCAGTTCTGTATTCATAGATGAAGAGACTTTTTATAGGAAGTGTGTCAGGTCACCAGGGTAAATTGGCTGTGTTACAGGTGCAGTTACGCCAGCAGCCAGGCAGGAGCAACCCACCAGAGCAAACCTACAAACCAGGAAGTCATGGAGGAAACCCTCTGGGCAGTCGGAATAGCCTGTGTTCTATGGCAGAGGCCTTTTGTATTGATTCGGTTTTTTCAAGATAATATGTGTTCACCATTCAAAAAAAAAAAAAAAAACTTGTCAACACTGAAACAGTTGAATTCATCCCCATCCCACAGACACCCAGTTAGACCAGTTTCTGAAGTTGTGTCCCTCCAGAGATATCAGTGCATGGTCAGTCCGTTTTCCTTATCTTTGCACGAATGGTGGCACATAACATGCATTGCTTTTTATCTTGATCATCTCCACGTAGCCAGATATCTTATGAGACATTCCCTTTCCTTCTCTGTAATGACCTTGGCTGTTTTCAGGCAATTACTACCACGATCTACCTGCCTCTGCCTCCCAAAGTGCTGGGATTACAGGTGTTAGCCACTGTGCCCAGCCAAGCTGGTTTTTTATGGCTGTTTTCTGATGTAACAGGATGCTTCTCCAGCAATAAGTTGATTCCTTAAATAGATTAACGTTTCTTGGATTTACCATCCTATTCATACTGTTAGTTCATTTAGCCATTTTAATGTTTTGAAGATGGTTGTAAAGAGGAAAATTTCAGTATCTCAAACGCTTTAAAGTGAGTGGAATTTTGACTGTACAGTTCCTTCTAGCAGAAATCAGTAAACCTTGTAAGATGCTTCAACAAAAAATGGGGTTGATTTCTTGGCACTTCACAGACATCCTCACCTTTCCATTCTCTCGGAATCAGATTCTTGTGAGGCTGGGGAGTGGGAGTTGGGGATGGAGGTAGCAGGATGGCATGGATGGGATTAGCAAGTCTTGGAGTCTGTTGTCCCATCTCAAGGGGCTCCATAAAAATGACTTTGTTGGTCCTATATTGGGAACTTGTATGGTTCTCAGCTTCTGAACAGAAGCTCCTAGGAGGAAGAGGCTAGTCACAACTCCTTAAGCTTTATCCCTGATACTGGTTGTGTCATCTCAGACCCACGGGTTAGTATGGTAGCTTCACTGGCTTTTGGGGCTGGGTCTGACTTTGTGTCTGATTGCTCTGGCCTGTCATTAGCATCCCCATAAGGAGAGGGAAGGGAGTGAGTTCAGGGATATACTTGCCAGAAAATCTGAGGTCAAAATCTCCTTCCACTTATCCTCCTGGCAGATTGGACTCCTTGGCACTCTTATGTTGAATTTCAAACTTTAAGATGAGTTGGTCACTAGAAAGTAATTTGCTGGCTCACACCTGTAATCCCAGCACTTTGGGAGGCCAAGGCGGGCGGATCACTGGAGGCCAGAAGTTCAAGACCAGCCTGGCCAACACAGGGAAACCCCGTCTCTACTAGAAATATAAAGATTAGCTGGGTGTGGTGGTACATACCTGTAGTCTCAGCAACTCGGAAAATTGAGGCAGGAGAGTTGCTTGAACCTGGGAGGCAGAGATTACAGTGAGCTAAGATCGTGCCAGTGCACTCCATCCTGGGTGACAAAGCAAGACTCTTGTCTCCCCTCCAAAAAAAAAAAAAAAAAAAAAAAAAAAAAGAAGAAGAAAGAAAGAAAGAAGGAAAGAAAGAGGAAATGAAAGAAATGGC